CAAGCGCATTTTAATGTTACCCTACACAAACCACGCCACGTTTCTGTAACTCAGCGGTATACGTTGTGAAAGCGAAGTATCGATGGAAGAACAGACGATAGATGGAAATTGAGAATGAGTGGATTATTCGCGAAGAAACATCTCCGAGGAAGACCACCAGCGAGCAGATGTGTTCGTGGAACGTATGGACCAATATAGAAGTCAGCTGGACACACTTTTCACGTGGGATTCGCGGACACGACGCCCACCGAAAAGATCGTGGATGTCAACAAAGGACATGGAGTGATTCCCTAAAGGAGCCCGATACAATGTGAAGACGGGCCATTTAGATAAGTATAGGCTACTGCAGGACGAAAGCGAAAAATTTAGGGGTGCGAACGCAGTCTTATCAGCCGCGAAACGCATAAGGCGTAAGATTTACAGCGGTGGAGATTTGTGTGCACCTTGCACCCGCTCAACTAAAACTGCTTTTGTGCCTTCGTCGGCACTAGCCTGGCTATATTCAAGTTGCTGCCCCATTTGGAACGCTACAATCGTTTTCCATATGAGAACTCTACGAGCCAGATTTACCTGGACGCTGCTTTGAGCACGAGATGGACAGGACTTTGTGATGGTTGAACGTGTTTTGATTCTGCTGCTGCAATAAATTTGGTTCCAGAACACCAGTCTTGCGAAGAAATTTTCAATATTTCAGATCAATTCAAATGCGAATGAGAATTTGGGACAACTGGAAGAAGAAGGTGATGATGAAGATTCGCTGTCGGTAAGAGAGAATACTCAATTACCTAAAGCTTCTAACCTGGTTTCAATTTCTCCTCGAGCTTATAAAATCTTTTCTTCGACTATTTTGCACCTCTACATGTAACTTTCGAATTTCTAGCTGGATCTCGATGATATAGTCCACGACGACCTTATTGGTGATTTGCTCATTCGTCTATTAAGCTCACCACTAATCAGCGACCCATATTGGTCCAAACAACCCACAAACACGTAAGGAGGTCGATTATTTTAACTAATGAAAGAAGCTCCTGTTTAGCCTTAAAAATATTGAACCGCCAGCTTATCTCAACTTTCGCATCACGTACGAGGAGATTGTGCATCTATGTTCAATGGCAGCAAAATCGTTTCTCGAACAGCCTGCACTTATTCGGATTCAAAAGTAAGATCTAAATGTATATTAGAGTAGGTGAAAGCTATATTAATTGGGCACTGTCGCAACGCTGCATTATCTGCAAAATTTACGCACCTTGTGCAAATTCGAGTTTTCACGTCATGTTATAGACGCAGGCAACACATACCTATAGGCTACTGCATGACGAAGGCGCAATATCTTCGAACGCGAACGCGGCTGCATTTACCGCAGAGCGCATGAGACGCAAGGTCTACAGTGATGATAATACGCGCGCTCCGCGTTCACGATCGCACAACTAATACTGCTTCTGCACCTTCGTCATGCAGTAGTACTGCTGCGTGGCCGTCCCAAAGCAGCAATCTTGTCAATTTTTATTCACATCTCGTCGGGAAGTTGTAATTTTCCAGGGACGACTTACCCCTACACATTGTGGCTGACTTACACGGTAACATAGCTCAAGTCTTACGTGTATTCAAGTACTGCGGCATACCACAAAGAGATTCGTTCTTATTCTTGGGAGATTACGTAGATAGGGGTGTTCAAGTAAGAGGTATCAGTTCTACAAATTCTTATTTTCAATACTTTTCTTCAGGGAATCGAAGTCATAACACTGCTGTTTTGCTTAAAAATTCGTTATCCCTACCAGGTACCTCACCTTTCACTAAGCAAATTATGAATGAAAATGAAAATAAACAGGTCTATCTCCTAAGAGGAAACCATGAAGATGCAAACACCACCTTGAACTATGGGTTTTTTGATGAATGCATTACTAGATGGCCTTCCAATGGAAGAAATCCGAAAGGAGGGGACAGGGTATCCAATCGTCTACAATTTTTCGTTCTGATTTATTCTTATTGAGGTATGGCGCCATTTTCTAGAAGCATTTAACTGTATGCCAGTAGCAGCTATTATTGCTGGGAAAATCTATTGTGCTCACGGTGGTATATCTCCATTTATTGAAAAATTGGAAGATATAAATAACGTAGGAGGAAAATTTCGACTGAATGCCAAGAGTTGCTGGACCTTACAGATCAAACGCCCATCTGTGGTGCCTGCTTACGGTATTGGTTGCGATTTGTTATGGTCGGATCCATCGCCCCAACGAGATGGTTGGGTGCTCAGCCATAGAGGTAAGTTATAATGGGAAAATTATTATCGCTTTATAGAGTAGAGTACGACTTTCAGGAATTTCGTTTTTATTTGGTCCGAAAGCGGTGGAGGAATTCTGCCAAAAACACAACATCGATCTGATATTGAGAGGACATCAAATCAATAATGAGGTGATTGCGCAGTAAGATAGTGTTGTAGTCCTTGACTTCTTTGTGTTAAACCG